GTCAGTCGTATCTGCTGTGTATACGTCACTGGTGACCATTCTGGACAGTATAAGTTGGGAAGTGTGTGTGTGTGTGTGTGTGTGTGTGTGTGTGTGTAGTGGCAGAGGTGAGCAGAAGAAATAAAGGCAAAAATTAATCCAAATGGAGCCTCAATTCCGTTCCACCTGAGGCACTGTAATTAATTATCAAATATTTTGTTTCAGTTCACTCAGTTTAGAAGGGCTCAGAACTGATGAAGAAGTAAGAGTGAGATTGGACTTCTCATGTAAACCTATGGCTTGATTCAGTCACTATTCAGTTTTGCCGGCCACATTGTGATTTTCTTATTTGGCCATGAGACTTTCTTTTTTAAAAAAATAAAAAGTCCCTTCCTTATATCTCAAAACTGAAGTTAAAACCTTGGAACACTTTTTTTCAATCTGTGGAATTTTTATTTTTATGGTTGAACATTGCATTAAGTTGATCTGGGCATTTGAACAAGCTTGGAAAGGGAAAAGTAAGCCAAGGAGAGCTCAACATAGGACTGACTTTCTCTAAAGGGCATTGCATTCACTGGACTGCTTGATGGATTTGGGGTCTTCTGTGGCTGCATGGTCAAGTTTTCTTTCTTTTTTTTTTTTTAAACTGAGATATAATTGGTATGAGTCAAATTTTCATTAAAAAGACAGAAGAAGACTGCCAGTTCCCTTTAGTCCAGTTGGAGTACTTCCACTGAGCACTTCTAAGAGTAAGTTTGGTTTTATGACCTCCTGTACAACAAAGGCTTGGTTACTTTTTGCTTCTGAGGGTGATCTTACTTTTCAAAAGGCCTTTGGTAAACTCACAATATGCAAGGAGTAAGAAAGAGTGCAGAGGGTCAGAGGAAGCATTTGTGATTCCAGACATAGCCCTCGTTATAGGACTATGTCATTATCTACCTTGTGCCACAGTGGGTATAACAGGATCAGAATTACCCTCTGCTGCATTATCGTTGTCTTCTCTTAAATATTCAGACACATGCGTCCAGTCTTGGGACCATTCTTTTCCCTTCTACAGTGTGTTTTGGGGAAAGTTTCTCTAAGACTCTGCATATTATTGGTTGAAGTCAAATAAATGTAGTTTTAATTATGTCCTTTGTGCAAAGTGTTCTACTTGATCTGCAGGAAACTTGAGGTTGAATACGATACAGTTTGTATTCTTGAATGTGACTATCTCGGGGCTAAATTTCAGCCTACTCTCTTGATGAGATCCCCAGTAAATCCGATCCTTAGTCCTACTTAGCTTGTCTCCTCTCTCCATCCCAGTCATACTTTTTTCTGTGAGAGGAATTTGCCTCCTTGTATCGGTATTACCTACTTAATCAAAGCAAGTAGAAACAGCTTGTGTACTGTTCATGTTCTTGGAAAATATAACAAGTTCTCTTACAGTCTAGATGTTTGTTAATTACTTTAAATCTCTTTTCCAGAGATAAATATTCAAGCCCTAGGTTTATTTTCTAGAAAAACGCTCTCTGGAGAACTCAAAACTGGTTCCATCACGGATTTCTCCTTCAGCTTATTAAGGACAGCTGCCTTTGGCTTCCTCTGCGCAGGGATCCCCCCATTTCCAGCCCCCTCTGGCCTTCCCCTCATTTTAGGATCCTCTTCTCCGTACGTCTGATAGTCCGTTGGCATGACTTCTTTCTGTGTCTCTTCCCATCTTCCCGTTTTTGTATCTCTTTGGTTGTGCTGATCCAAATAGCAATATAAATTGCTGTTGACCCCAGGTCTCTGTATCTCCTCCCATGGACAGCGTCCTGTGACATAGCATGGTTTGGAGTGACTGAGTCCAGGTCTTTGTTAACATCAAGTGCTGCCTTTTGTCTGTTCAGTGGAAGCTGAACCTGACCTCTTGAGGCCCAGGATCCAGGCTCTCTGAAGAATTCCAGTCCATCGCCTCTCCCTCCTCCTCTTAATTTTCCTCTTTCCACCCCAGTAATACTGGGAGTTTGTTAGAACATCTCCAAACCCACTATCAGGAGAGTGCCTTTACCTAACACGTTCTTCAAGCATTTTGCATATGGCATTTCGGAGGATTATTAAACAAAAATGAAATAGATTAAGAAACGAACATAAAAGAATCAATTCTCTCGAACTGTGGTTGCATAATGGAAATCGACTACCACGAATGAACCCGTGCACTGAAGTTATGAACAGCAGAGCTAATGCACTGCCATGAGTTCATCTTTATTATTGCATTACACCTGAATCAATTGATAAAGTAGCTTTTTTTTTAAGCAAAGGATGGCACTTAATTGAATAAAAGTCAATGTAATTATATTAGCAGAGGCCAACGGTACTGCTGACAGCGGAAAAGGGACACTGTTGAACAGAGGGCCAGAGCTGGTCTACACATTTCTGCACATCGTTTGGTTGACAGATATTGAGGGCTGGTACATCATCTAATTAGATTACAGATTCCTATTGCTGTGAGTGAGAAATGAAGAGAAACATCTCTTCCTGGTAACACAACAGTGGAGATGTGTAATTTCACAAGTCATCTTAGGAAAGATGTGTCCATCTGGGTGATCAGTGTGTCCTTTTGTCAATGTTAATTTATTCTTCCTTACTCAGTGTGTCTCTCTGTCGCTGCTGTTTTCTCGGCAGTGAATCTAGGAAGTGGTAACTGCAGATGTGTGAGAGGCAACAGAGTTCTAGATTAAAGTCATCGCAAAATGTGTGCCCATGAAATTAATGGGCTGGGGAGGGTGTAAATAATAAAGAGGGGTAGGGTTTCTGGAGCTGCATATGTTTGGCAGGTTGTTTTATCAGTAGAGTGATAGTACACAGTGTAACTATTTCCACATTTACTAATAACTCTGGTGGTGTCATACCCACATGTCAGGGGAAAGACTTCACAGTAGGCACTGTCTGCATGCTGCCTAGCAGCCTGCACTTGGAGTCATCTGCCATCTGACAGCAAGGAGACAGGGAGTGACTGTCAGAGCAAGGACCATGGGGACAACTGCTGTTTCTCATTCACATATCCGCACACTGCATGCATCTGTGTAGACCTCACTGATGGATGATGATAATGCTGTGAATTTGGTTTATCTTAATTTATGATTTTTGGATTGTGCGGCTGATCTGAAAATCATCAAGGCAGCATATGAGATGATCGCTTATGCCAGAAAATAATTTTGTGGTCAGAACATTTTAAATCCCTATTTTATTGTTTAAGTTTTTTTTTTAAACCAGATGTCTAGAATGTGAATTTGTTTTCTCTCTCTCTCTCCTCTCTCTCTCTTTCTCTCTCTGTCTCTCATTCTTGCTTTCTTTTGTGATCGATTTAGCAAAAGATTAGAAAGCTGATCTTATTATCACAAGGTAAGCTCAGCCTTCCTAAGCGCAGTGTGGAGAGGGCTGCCGCCCCTCTGCCCCTAAAGCCTGGAGTGCTGTATATTGTCTTGTGTGCAGAGGTGGAGAAGTGTTTCCCACCTTTCTTGTCTCTGAGGCACATACCTCTCAACCATCTCTAAGAAATATCAGCCCTGCTTGTCACCAAATAGAGTGACTCATTTCGGTCTTCCGTACTTTTTAATTGTAATCATGTCTGTTGAACTTTATACTGACCATCCCAGGTCATTTCTGTCATCACAATTACTTCTCCAAGAACGCAGAGCTTCTGCCATTATTGAGAAGCTTTTACATATCTGTGTAAATTTATTTATTGGCTTATTTTTTGGAAGAGTAGCCTTCAATTTAGGTACTTGTCAAACGTGAGCCTTTGCAGGTGGAGAGAGGTATATGCTCAAGGGCATTTTAAAAATAAATGGGGGATGTAAATACAAACGCAATGTTTTCAGATAATAACGTATCAGGCTTTGTAAATCATGACATCCCTATGGATGTTCTGGGACAATCCTATCTTATTTTACACAAGCAAAGCACTCAGTGAGTACAGTAAAAGTTTTGCTTGTCTAAGAAGTACGGATTCCAGTTGTTAAAGGAGAGGGACCATATGTTATTATTGTGCTTGATTTTCTTTTGTATTCATTATGTGTGGGTTTTTTAAAAAATATTTTGGTCCCTTTGTGGTTTTTCTTTTTTCCTTGGTTTTTTTTTTTTCTTTTGTTGTTTGTAGTGTTGTTTTTTTTTTTAAAGGGTTGGTTTTTTCTTTTCTTGTTTTTTTTTTTTCTGTTGTTGAGTGTGATTTTTTTTCTAAAGGGTGGGTGGGTTTTATTTAAAAAATCAATTTGTTTTTCACTTTTTTTTTTAAGAATTGAATTTAAAACTTGAATTACTTGATAAAAACATTTTCAACATTAAAATGTAGCAGCTTCTGAAAATAAATGTATTTTACTATTAGATTTAGCTGAGATCCCAAATTCGGGGAGGGGGGAGGATTTTTGTTAGAGACAGTCTGTAACCCTATTTCAAACTGATAACCTATTAAGATCAGTTTTTCTCCTACCTAAAACAGGAGGTGTAGGAAGGTGAGGGGGAAACAATTCTTTTTTGAAGTTAATCGTTAATTATCTAAGCCATTTACTTTTTTAGAAAAAAGAATCCTTTTTATACCGCAAAGTACAGTGTTTGCTGTAGGAAAAAAGGGGTTTTGTTTTGTTTTCCTTTTAGGTAAATTCAAATGATTAAGGTTAGATAAGCAAAAAGTTTCCATTCTTTTATCCTATTGGATATATTTTCTCAAATCTGTGCTTGAGATTCCCTGCAACTGATGCTGCTACACAGCAAAACGAACAGAACCGTCATTCAGAAAAAGGCGCACGGGTTTGCACTCGTTCACCATTGAAGAATTTTACTCTCGTAAAAATGATGTTAGTGGAGCGCTCCCCACCACCACGTATTCCCAAATCCTGAAGGTATAGAGAAACGTTTGCTTTTGTAATGGTGTCATTAGCAGTGAATGTGCTTATTTGACGCCTAGTGAAAGCTGAATCCATTTTAAAATGCTCTCCTTTTTCTCCCCCTTCCCACTCCCTGTGCACCTGCCCCCGCCCCCTTCCCTCTTGTTTTCCTAGACACAGTGCCAACATAAATCTGCACCGTAAACTGTTGACCAAAGAACTCGATGACATGGGCCTGGACTCATCGCAGCCCTCCCTTAGCAAGGACCTCCGGGATGAATTTTTGATGAAGATCTATGGTGCCCAGCACCCCCTGGGGCTCGATGTCAGGGAAGACGCCTCCTCTCCCGCCGGGACGGAAGACTCCCACCTGAACGGGTACGGGAGAGGCATGGCGGAGGACTACATGGTCCTTGACCTAAGCACCACCTCCAGCCTCCAGTCCAGCAGCAGCATCCATTCCTCCAGAGAATCCGACGCAGGCAGCGACGAGGGGATCCTTCTGGACGACATTGACGGGGCGAGTGACAGTGGGGAGTCGGCGCACAAGGCTGAGGCCCCCGCCCTCCCCGGCAGCCTAGGGGCTGACGTGTCGGGATCTCTGATGTTCAACAGCTTGTCCGGGAGCAATGGTGGGATCATGTGCAACATCTGCCACAAAATGTACAGCAACAAGGGGACCCTGCGAGTGCACTATAAAACCGTGCATTTGCGAGAAATGCACAAGTGCAAAGTCCCCGGTTGCAACATGATGTTTTCCTCTGTGCGAAGCCGAAATCGGCACAGTCAGAACCCTAATCTCCACAAAAACATTCCCTTCACTTCAGTAGATTAGTCTCAAAACGGACACTCCAAATGCCAGCTCTCACCAGATGGCCTGCATATTCGAACTGCCAGAGTCAGTGTGTGCTTGTGTACTTGGGAGGGTGTGTGTGTATGGAGGTGTGTGTGTGTGTATACACGTGTGCCTCTGGGTCTGCGTATACACACACGCACACGTTTTTTTCAGCTATGACAAGATAAACACTAGGTGCTTTTGAAATTGTTTTTCTTTTTCCTTTCTAGTTTTGGGAAAGAGGTGGGTTCTTTAATTTGCGGGTAAAAACAAGAGTACCCTGTAAACACACATACACACACACACACACATAAAGCGTGCAACTAGCCCAAATTTTGACAGAATAATAATTCTTGGTCCTCTCCAAAGAGACAATTAGTACCCATGACTGTTGCCTGCAAAAGAAAAAAAAAGGGAAAAAAAAAGAAAAAAGAAACAGAAAAGGAACTTCTAAAAGTTGTCTTTTGTGAACTTTAAGGTTTTGAGAGAATCTTCGATTAAAGCATGGCAGATTCACCTGTAAATACTTAGCCTTGAGAGGCCAGCGATGTAAAACAAGTGTATCGATGGTTGTTTAACTCTTTTGTTTAATTTTTACAGATACATCCAGCTGTTAGATATACAGGAAAATAGTTTGCTGGCTAGCTCGATTCATTTATGTTAGCATTAATGCACATTTTTTTTAAGGAAAAAAAGAAACTTGGTCTTGTTTTTACTACCTGCTAGATATAGTGATAAAGAGGTGCTGGCATGCCTTACAGCACAGATCTGATTTTTTAAAATGTCCTGTACTAGTACATAAATCCAGTCATGCACTTTTTTTCATACACTACAAGGGGATGTGTAATATCCATGCTTCTTTTTTTATCCTTAAACTATTGCCATACTTGGAGTAAGTGTCTTTTTAAAAAAAATTCACTTGTATAAAAAATGGTCTGGTCAGTATAGGGCACAAATGCCAAACAAAAGTATTAGTGTTAACACGAAACTGCCAACTTTGCACAAGTTTCCAGAAAAGAAAATACAATTAGTCACTCAACATAACCACAGGCCAATTTGTCGGCCACCAGAAAACCGCTTTAAAAAAAAAAACAAAACACTTGGTGATTCTTTCAAGTGCCGAATGTTATTAGAATCAACATTGCATCCTTCTTGCTTATATGTTAAGTTACATAAAAGGAAAACAAAATTATGTGGTGTGAAACGGCCAAGGCATTTATTCTTTAGAGGCAGGACAATATTTCAGGATACAAAAGCCCAAATTACTCACTATGGAACAAAGCTGAATACAGGAAAAGAGTTGAAGGCTCACTTGCAAAGACCTAACTCTTACCCTTTAAAAAGAAAGGAAAAGCCTGAACCGGGTTGGTCTGTCGTGTGGCCACCTAATTTGTTGCAAGTTCTGCAGTAGGACTATGATTCAGGCCTGTCTGATAGACAAAATCAAAAGACATTTAACAGCAGCAGTACTGGGAAGCTTTGAAAGCATGTGCTGAACTTGAACTGAGCAACACTCCTTTCTGCAAAGCCAGAAGAAGGGGGTTTAAAATAGGATCTCTCACTGTTTCGTGTTTTGTGTTTCCCCGCACAATCTGTCAGAGAGAAATGAAAGCAAGCCTGAAACCAAGCAGTCGAGAGTGAGAAAGGGGAGGGAGAGGATCCTCCAAACCTTGTTTTGTTTTGTTTTGTTTCCGATGTTTACACATGTTGCCTGAGCTGGTTAACCACATCGGCAGCCTCGGCTACCACAACATACTGACTAAATGATGATATTTACTCAAGTTCAGTCTGCAGCCAAAACCATTAGGGTGTGCATTGCAGACAGTGTTTTGTTGTCTTTTTTTTTTTTTTAAGTGGAGGGTTGGGGAGAAAAGAGATAAGGAATATTTTGTCAAGCAGTACATAATAATTTAAAGAGAATGTATTTCTTTTCTGCATTTAAGGGCCTCAAACATTTCTCTCATCAGCCTAAAAATTAAAAATACCCCCGGTGTCTTATTAACTTGTAGTAGCATTTCCAATTTTCATGTTTTGTAATTTTTTTTCCTATGTTCACATCAGCATTCACTTCCGTTAAATTTGCCAAAGGAAACTGTTAATATGTTTCTCTTGTTATTATTCCTGTAGGATTTATTGTACCTCACAGTATTTATTGTTTCCAAAATTAAGCATCGTTGAGGATTCCGTATTTTTATTTGTGAAAATTTCAGAAACAATAGATTCTTAAAGATAAGCTAGACGTGTCTAGGAGTTTTCTTTGCACCTCCTTCAGAGGATGCCATGGGGTTCATTTAATTCTTCCTTTGTTCTACAGTGAGGAGAGACCAAAAGTATTTACAGTACAAAAGAAACTATATCAAACACTATGTCTGTTAAATGACAAATGTTTACGGTAAAAAAGCTGAGGAATTAGTGCTAACCGTTTTTTTTTGTTTTCTTGTACCTTTGAATTCCCCAAAGTCTTAATTGCTTTATTTTGGTGTTGTGTTAAATTGAATAGACAGAGATGTTTTCCTTTGTTTTATACCATATAAGCCTCTGTACAGTATGTTTGTGAAAGATTGAACTAGAATAATGAAAGTTTGTTTGCAAACATTTTGGTCCTCTTAGCGTTCTCTGTGTTTGTGCTGTTGCTCCGTGAACCAAGTGATTCGGTTCCAAGAGTGGAAAAACTATTTTTGGTATACCAAAAGAGTATGGAAACACTAGCTTTGGGAGTGTGCGTAGACTAAATGACATGTAATTTTATGAAAATAATTCATTTTCAGCAATTTTTTAAAGTTACACTCCTGGTTGAGATATAGAACTCATCTTGTACAGAATCAGTGTTGAGTCAGTTTAATGTCAGTGGAAAGGTCCGAGAGCCCTAGTGAGTGAACCACGTGGCTGTCAGCAGGTCACGTCAGTCAGCAAGTGAACCAGGCTTAGAACAAATGTTTGTTACTCGCCACAAACAAACCAGGCTGATATGGCTAGCCCAGTGGAACAAGTCCAGAAGAATGAGATTCTCAGGGTAGAATTTCCCTTGCTTGGAAGCATGAACGTGTTCACCTGCTTTTTGTTGGAGAAACAGCAGTGAGTCCTGGACAACATGCCCTTTTAAGTCTCTCCCCTCTTTGCTACTACTTTTGTGCCTGAAGTGCCCACATGTTATGGTGGCCTTCCAAGTGGGTGAATAACATTTTCCAGTATAAAGTCTATTTGGATGGAAGTGGTCCATAAAATGTCTACTCATGCAACGTAGCGTTCTCCTAGTCCCCAGGTGTTGCTTGTTCTCGGGTGTGTGCCTCAGGGCGGTGTTTTGACTTAACTCTAAATCTAGTTAAGACAGTGATTCCAAGGCTGATTTGGAAACGGGAAGGATAAAGAGATCAGCATTTTAATCACTGAGCCCTTCCTCTTTGCCCATTCATGCTCCTTTTTTCCCCATAGGATTTCCTATTGCAAAACAGGTTCTGTCTAGCTGCCTCCCTCCTAGCTCGCTGAAAAGGAACAGGGATGGCAGCTCTTCATCCAAGCAGCCTTTTCCCAGTTGATTTTAAGCAACATTTTTGTCACAGGTACAAAATTGGGCAGTATCATTCATGTGCATGTTCACGAGCTGGTGTTGAAATGTACTGTTTTGATCATTTTAAGATATGTTTTTACACATATCAGAAAAGTTTAGTCTGCTTTGGGGAGTATCTGTTACAGAGAGGGACAACACAGACCAAGAATAAGGATAGATAATAAGTAATTTGGTTTTAAAAATGTGATAAAAAGCATGACATTCTTTGTTCTGCTGTTAATTGTACTGAAAAAAGTCAATGCATTTCAGATCTTAGTCCAACCACCTGTTTAGCGTGATGCCTTTTAAAGGTGTCAGTGTGTTAATGTCTCCCCCTCAATGTGACACGCATCTCTTTTGAAATTGTTTTCTGCACAGTAGTCCTTTGTAGTGTGATTTCTTTGGCCATGAATTTCCAGGCCTTTCCAGTAAGAGGAGAAAGGCACTTAACTGGTTAACAGCCTGTTAGTATATACATTGCTCCTTTAAAAAAAAAAGGCAAGCTTTGAATATACGCAGCATGGGCTGTTCCGCAGGCACTCTGCCCTTCTCCTCAGGAGGACCCAGGCACTAGGTTCCCACCCAGTAAAAACTGACCTTTTTCTCCCCCTCCCCTGTACACACCCCTGATGTGTGCCAAGCAAACGAGAGCTGCAGCCCTTGGCAGTTAAAACAGAAAGAAGCCAGTAACCAGAGTGAGACAGACTTGCTGCTAGCTGCTAACAGTGGACCTGAGCGGTCCTGACTTGTGCTTGGTCTTCAGTGGTGGGTGAGACTGACTAACAGTAAATAATGCTCAGCTGTCATGAGACACTCTACATCTGCTCTCATAAGAAACAAATCATCCTGAAGAAACTTTCTTTGATCTTATGGACACACTCCTTTTCTGGAGAACTTTTTAAAATTATGACAAATTTGTTTTGATTTTGTATTTTTTTTTAAATCACTTCTGTTCTCCCCAACTTGGAATATTTAAATGAGAGAATGTTGCTTTTCCAGCTCATTCTTTGTTTTCCTAATGAAAGGGGTAGAAATGCATAAGGAGGGCAGTAAAAGGCAGGAGCCAAAAAGGCTGGAGGGAATCACAGTTTTTAAAGGGAACTGAGGTATACGAAGCAGAGCACAGGGACCTGCCCTGGTTTGAAGGTAACTCGAAGAGAAAATAGTGAATGCAATGAAAGTGTATGTTCAAGAGAAAAGTCTAGTGCAACTCAGCCTAGCAGTGGGTGGGTGTGTCTCCACCAGTGCCCTCCAGATCTCCCCATGACTCGTGCGCGGCACTGAACCCCGGTCTGAGGAGGGCGGGAGGAGGAAAACAAGGATGCTGCGTGGAATAGCTCGGCCAGGCTGGCCAGGAAAGCCAGCTAGAGCAGCTGTGTGTGTGTGTTGGGGTGGGGGTGTAGTTCATTTTTTCTTTTCTTCATTTTCCTTTTTTCTTTTTTTTTGGAGTGGGAAGTAATGCTAGAGTCCCTTAGGGAGCAACAATATCCATTGGGTCCTCTAGGTTATAGTAAAGGCCAGTGGTCAAACCAAGCTCCACTTGTGACAAGTGGAGCTGAAGTGAGTGGTTCCCAGCACAGACCTCTTTATCCATCATTACCTTGGCTTGCCCCTGTAGCTGTGGTTGTAATGCTGTTTGGCTAAAGATTTCTTGATCAAAATGTGAGCTCATTCGCCTTCCTAGGAAGCATCAAAGTAACTTTTCTGTTTTCATATTTTCCCTCCAAGCAGAACCCTGTGTGGTAGGTAGTCTTGCCCGTGTTAGCATTAAGGCCGTATCGGATCTGTCCCAATTTATTTCCCTATTTCCTCCAGTTGGAAAGTTGCTCACTGTAAACGGCAATTTTCCTTTAGCATTATGTAAATCCAGCTCCAAAACTGGCTAGTGAATCAACCTAACGTCCCTCCGGCCCAGCCCTCATCCTTCCCTGTGTCCTCCTGTCATCCTCATTCTTCCCACATCTGGCACAAAATGATGTTTATGATCGTTCGGCAATAACTGGACATCAAGTACTGTCTTTTTGGCATTCGCTGAAAAATCCATAACCAATAATGGGTTTGAAAAAAAACTAAGCCGTTTTACAAGTGCACAGAATTGGATCAGCATCATCGTTCATTATAATGCTATATATATTTTTTGAAGTAACGTACTATAGTTGTCATAAAACTATCTTTATTCCTCTCCTCTGAAGTGTTGTTGTAAATTCATTTGACCTCTACTGCAAAAAAAAAATCTTCTTTTCTGTATAGAGTATCAAGACAAGGCTCCGTTTGTAACAAATAGTGGACCATTACAGAAGAGGAAGGGGAACAGCCAGGCTGAGCAGCGAGAAGCTTCAGTTCAATTTCACCTCATATCTTTCTAATAACTTACTTGTCACTTTATTACCTTCCAGTAATGTGAACGCTGCTGACAAGACTGTCACACTAACAGCAGACAACACCCTCTCCGCTTCAGCCCCAGCTCTCCTGGCTACTTATTGCCCTGGCCCTGAAGGGACACAAACTAATAGTGTGCTTTCCAGTTCAGCACTTGGCCATCAAATATAAAAGGATGCGTAATTGCCTGTTTATCCCTTGTGAAGGGGAAATTGAGTACAAGGGCTAGGCTTTCCGTCCGAGTTCCCTGATGTACACACACATTCACAGTCCGTCTCTCTTTCTCTATCCCCTCCTTCCTCCTCCAGCTTTCTCCTTCCCTCCTCTCCCAACACATGAGCACGTACACACACCTACTAAACTATATCTCTGGGAAGCCCAAGGCTGCCTCCAGGTGCCCTCTCCAGCTATTAAGTGGACAGGAACAAGACTACTTAGGTAAGGGTCAGTAGAGGGATGCTGGCTGTGACGGCATTTGTGTCTGGAAACTGAAGCACTGCAGCTCCATGCCCATGCACTTGGGGGGTCCCGAGTGTGGCCCTATAATTACAGCAAAATTTCTGCCAGTCAGTGGCAAAAGTGGGATCAGATCGCCCCATATTCTGTAAGAAAAGAACTAAAATACTTGACTTCCCCTTTAAAAAGTGCACATGGTGTAAACAAATTGGCTGTGCATGATGGTAAGAAAAGTAATTTTTTTTTGTTTTGGCATCCAACCATTCGCCTAAATATACTGATGTATTTTGCCATGACAACCTCCGAATCCATAGGGTAACAAGACAGATTAACTTTTGTTTAACTGGACTGACAATCTGAAAAATATTAGAAGGCACGGAGATCCTCACTGTAATCACTAAAACAGGAATGGCCCTATCTGTAAAAGGTTAAGTTCTCCACTTTGGGAGAACTGTGGTAAGTACAAGTTCGTGAGCTTTACGAAATCAAGTGACGAGGGGACAAAAAGTACAAAGGACGATCACGTGATGGTATTACATTCCCAAACCCTGAGCCCAAATAACGGCACAGGTACTGGCTGCTCTTGTTGTCTCCTGAACTAATTAAAGGGTGGTTCAGAAGCGCTAGGTGGTGATGAAAGGAAGTGCAAGACCTGTGGTGCGTCTCCCTTAATGGAACTAGGGGACTCCACGCTTCCTTCTCACCCGCCGGCAGCAGGTCTGGAAGAAGCTGTTGAACCGCTTTGAACAGTCATGTTTCAAATATGTTTGTCAATCAAATAAGACACACGTGGGTGTCATCTTTGATGCAAACTTCTGGAAAGAGAAAAGCTGCAGATCTAGACAACTTAACAGGTCTATGTTGACAAACCTGTGCTAAAATAATCTCATAACCCAGTGTGAGGGCTGGGAAGAAAAGCACTTTGAGCAAGGATATCTTGGGGTCAAAGAAAAAGCAGTTGACTTGATTTTTTTTTAAGTTCCTCCAGTATGTATATAAAGTGGTCATTTATCAAACATCTTAATAGAATCTTAATTAAAAATTAAGTTGCCAAAATTGCACAGGTTCTGCTAATATTAGCTTCCCCCTCCTTAACAGGGGTGCTAAGGACAGTTCTAACTTTTTTTTAAAGTTTTTTTAGCTTCCTCTTTTGAAGATTCTTTGAAGGCAAAGAAGAGCAGAAAAAAGGTATTTTAACAAAAAAGGAAAGTAGATAGTATAAAAATATATTTCTTGAAGAGAGAGTATCTAAGCACTATACCAAGACTTTATAAGGCTTCCTTGTTGCCAAATGTGATGTTGAAATAATGCACACTTAAGATGGCAAATCAATCTATTACGAAGTGGCTCTGCCCACTTGTTACGGAGCTCAAGGACTGAGGGGACTCTGGGGAGACCCTGGATGTGAGAGCTCCATTCATCTGGCCCTGGAAATGTTCTCCACAAGGCGGGGAGAAAACCCCAGCCCTCTTGGTAGCCCCCCTTCCCAAGGCGAGCTGACCTGGCACTGTTTCCCGGGAGCCTCCTGCCTGCCCGCACGGCGCTAGCGGACAAAGCCTCCCCCACCCCGCCTCCAAGTCGGTGCTGTAGCCCTGAGAAGCACTGATTCAAGAGGTATGACGCTCCTGATGCCCAGACAATGTGCTGAGTTAATAGGTTCACTTGAGATGTATAAACCAAGGCCGATTGTTTATTTTTTCTTTCATCTAGTACTCAATTTGGAGCATTTTTGCATGTCTTTGTACAGAGTAATCCATTCCTCTCACTGCCCATCTTAATCTCCCTGAATTTCCATTATCTCTTCACTCCTACCCTTTGTTCTTCTATCTCCCCTACCCTCTCCAAAAAATATCTTTTCTGAAGCAAGAAGGTAGAACACTCCCTCCTTCATCTGGATTTTGATCGCTTTGGAAACGTGTGTCCTACCCTGTCCAGGGTTTATATAACGTGAATTAAGTGAATGAGATGTTCTAGTATTATATATTAACCTGATATGACTAAGATTGATAATTTATGGTGCTCTCCCTTTCCTGTGCAAACTCTGGTTCAGCTGCCATGCAGAGAAGTCTTACTTTTTTCCTACCAATGCCAGTATGAGCAGGGCAGGGAAGCTAAATGTGGGTACTTGGAGGTCAGAGGGGCAAGAAAGGTGGAAACACCAGAAGACTTTGATCTGAGGCCACCACCCTGGACCTTTCCTCAAAGGTGGAGGCTAGTCGGGGCTTCAGGAAAGAAAGCTCCCCGTTCTCTACTGCCGATAGCGGACTAGTCCTCAAGAAATAGCAACAGCCCTCACGTGGTTGAGAGAACACATAACCTTCTTAACTCACCCCAAACCCACTGGTGGGTCTCAATAACAAACACGCCGGACTCACCCTGCGTATCTGACAGCAGAAGTGGCCGAAGGGAACTGAAATATCTTGAGGAAAAGGAATTTTCCTCAAGATATGACCCTCTCCCTCCCCTAAAGTTTGGGGGTTTATGTTTTTGTTTCTGTTCTCATCTGCATCAGATCAGCCTCTTCTGCTCAGCCTGTCACAGAGCCACAGTGTGTACTACGCGAGGGAGCTGCACCAAGGGACGGGGACAGCTCGCATCCCCCGATCGTGTCCTTGTGCCGTCGGTAGCTTCATACATACTGTATGTACCTTGAACAAGGGTTTTGTTTCTGTTTTGCTTTTTGGTTTGTTTTTATTAGTAGCCTAAGGGAATTAAGTTTTTTATTTACATTTTCCTTTGTTGTATTTTCTGTACTATAACTGTCTACAGTATGTCTTTTGCATAAAATGCATAAGGGTTCGGGGATGTAAATGGAATTTTATTCATATTTTGTCCAAATACCTCTTGTAATTTGTATCAAAATTCTTGTACAATTTTTATATTAAAGATTTATCAGTCACTGATCTCTACTTCCCTTCTTTATTTGAAGAAACCTCAACAAACTCCAGTAAGACCTTTACAAAACACACCTGGGAATATGTCCGCTCGCATCATCACTCACCCTATTTAAGCACACCTGTTGGATAACCATCTCCTGTTTGGACTGAACCCGGGCACTACTGAGGGCACTTCTTAGGAAGATCAAATTCGTCTCTTACTCAGATGGCAAAGCTGAGTCAGAGCGACCAAGATCCCAGCCAGTCCCGGCAGAGCCCAGCGAACACCGACTCTTTCCTCACTAAAGCTAGCCCTCTGGGGACGCTTCCTCTTTGTCTCTCCAGAATTTTCTTTTCCCTGAAGCCTTTGCCCAAGCTCTTCGGAGCTTCTGCAAATAAATTTTCTTCCACCCCCACCCCACCTTGTGACATTTGTGGCAGCAGCCAACAGGATGATGACTATATATTTTTTTCAGACTAAATGCTTGTGTTTCAGTTTATAGTCTCTAGATGATGGCTTTCTGAAGATTGTGCTTGTTATCATCAAGAAACAAATCTAGCAGATGGAAAGATGTCATCATCGGTGACATCTCCTCCTCCTGTCATACTACGTGGGACCAGCGAGGAGAAGCAAAGGGGGTGCTTCTGACTCAGCACTCTTTAGTATTACCCCCCCAACACACACACACTTCTTAAGCCAATTCTAGCTAAAAATTAGGCTAAGCCAGACTCACTTTTGCTCAGGTCTCCTTTCCAATTTAGGATTTCCTGTCCTCCATCCCTAGAGCCAGATTTGCCCATCTGCCCAGCTTGTACCACTCACTTCTCCAATTTCCTCTGACCTATGAGCCAGGGAAATGAGCTACCCAGACTCTCTAGCAACCCCCTTGGCCCCAGGCCTCTGGCCAGCAAGGGGCCAGACAGGCTGCTTGTACCCGTCTGGCTGTGAGCAGGCCCACAACACTAGGGCTCAGCCAGCTTCAGACACCACTGACTGAGGGTCCCTCCTGAGGTAACAGGGATGCTGACTACCAAGTCTGGATGGGGGCTCCCCCCTAGGTTTCCTCTGAGCACCCACAGACAGGCTTTGGGGTGAGGGAGAAATGAAAGGTTAAACAATTTGGGGGAACTCAACCTCCATTGAGGCATGTGGTTATTAAATGTCACGGATGTCTTAACGCACAACCGCAGGGAATCCAGGCATAATTATGATCTTTTCATCTGTCATAACACGTCTATAATTGGCAAGAATTCACCCTCAAACAGTTCCTTCTTATTCTTTAAAAAAAATTGTTTTAAATGTTATTAAATGGTGGAAATCCTCCCATTTAGCAAAGAGGCACCCATGAATTCAGCTCTTGGCACAAATTTAGTCAGATCGGCCTGGGTTGTGGCCAGTTGCTCTTCTGAACCACTGGAAGACTTGCTGTCGGCTAATATGCCCGAATCAGTTGACAGTATGACAGTAGATTAAGCGCCACTAATTTAATAAAGCTGCTCTGAAGACGGAGCTGATCTGTCAATGAAGACCCGAGAGGACCACATGGGTGGGGGCTCGGGAGGGGCGACCGAGGGTACCAAACTGCCTGAAGTAACACTGAGGGGGAAGGAATCTATCGATCCTCTGTGAGGCGCAGTTATTTTCAGTCACCTGACTCTCAGACACCCAATCATTACCCATATTCATCAGAGACATGTAATGAACAGAGATATTGATTAACAGGGGCCGCTAAAGAGATTTCCCAACAGTGCTAGTTCACATTGATAGGTCTCCAATGGGAATAGAGGCCATGCAGCCCTGGAACATAACTTACTCTGTTCTAGGTCCTTCCATTGATTTTTTGGGGGAGGGGTTGGGGGAGGGACAGCCATGTACACAGTGCTGCTCCCTTGACCTTTTCTTGAAACCTTCTTTGAAAAAAAATACAAGAGAAAACCAATCCACTGCAGCAGCCAACAAGCACGCAGCCCTGCTCAAAGTTTCCACCTCTCCCCAGGCTGCCTGTCCTACCTCATCTTTGACTGCCGTGTGTGTTATCTTGATTTACAGAAATGCCCTCGAAGCTGGGACGTGCCAGTCAGAGCTCTGAGCCATCAGGCATACGAAGCCTTCCCTCCCCTAAAGATCAACATATGGCTTCGGGAAATTATCGTGTTAGGCTAATTGCACCAAGTTGGCATGGTAGGAACATAATGAGTCGCGGTTTCAGCACGCTGACCCCAAACCCAGTGATGCCAGCGCACGCTAACTTTCCAAGCATTTTGCCTCATGGCAGGAATCCTCATTGAGCTGCTGTTTGCAAAAGGCATTTGGTTAGATTTCTAGCGCGTGCCCTGAACCTGCGCTGTGCGTTCCAATCGTACAAGGGAGTGCTTGTACGGGAGCCCTTGACCTTCCAGGGAACCAGTGGTGATCCACACGCCATAACCATCAGAAGCCATGTGCTCCCTGACGGGCGACATGCTGCATAACATACTGATATGTAACTAGAAACCATTAAACCCCAGAGACACAAAATGTAAAGGATTAAGACAAGGACAGCTGTAAAAAATAAAGCTCAAATGCACCATTAGAAACCAGAAATACACAAAGCGCCACTGTTTGTCATCCACACTGGATATTAGCAACACTTGACTTGTATACTAACGAAATGCTGTAGGAACTGTAAGTCACCGCATAACCACTGTGGCTAGAGGCAAGTTTCTCTTTGCTCCAGTCTCTCCTTAGCTGAGCCCAGGTTTTGCATGACATTTAACTTCATTTGTCTCCAATTATTCTCGCCAACTTGCCTTAATCTGTCTTACCTTGTTCAGCAGACTTCTTCATCTTCATGTCCAGCCTCCCCTTGGACTCTGAGACGTTTGTCTGTAGCACCTTCGGCCTTTTCCTTGCCCTTCTTTATTCTCTTCATCATAATGTTCAGTTCAATTTCTGTTTTCTTGGCTGAAACCATTAAAAAAAAATCAGTTCAATATATTTTGATCCTCTGGGGTTACACTGTACCTTGACTTCTTTCCAAATGTAACAGCTTATAGGGAAAAAAATATCAAAGGCTTCAATAATTTTAAATCCCGAGTTCTGTGCATTGCACGGCAACTTCAAGTTTTGGAAATGCTCAAAAAAATGGTTGCAATCAAGTGAATTTGGAGGTTATCAGGGTTTTAGGCATGTGCTGTGTGAAGTGATTTGAAATTATTAGGCCGTTTCCAGGTTTTTAGAGAGATTCCTTTTTACAAATATAAGTGCTATTAACAATTCAAAGCACTCTCATAATTCCCCATCTTTGTTCCTCCCCATGATCTCAATTTCAGATTTCCTCATTTTTTTCTTAAGTGGAGAATTTCCTTTCAAAGTTTCACAAAGTCATTTGCAGGCTGAAAACAAGACACTTATTTGATTATTTTCAGATGTCACATCAATTGGTCTTCAGCAGAAAGTAATCCTGCAAGATGTTATGCTTCATGCTTTCTATTCTTTCAGAAACCACAGACTTGTGTGCTTGAAAATATGACTCTTTCCGAAGCCCTCAGCCGCACCCACAGAACGCATATGTGAAGATGGTTTCAGGCGCATATGCAGACATGCCTTTTCAAGGAAAAGCCCGCCTGCTCTTTGCAGATCTACTGTGAGTGTAAGCAGAGAGGGGAAAAGCAGGGGTGAAATCCAGGTAGTTGTGTCTCACAGGGAATTGTGTTCTAAATGCCTTAAAGATGGGCTGCTTCTCTGGTCCTCATAAGTGTGTGCTGCATAGTAGGTGATCAATGAACATTAATAGAAAAAATGGATATTGCAAATGGGGACTGGAGGTGGGTGGATGGAGCGCTTTGTTAAATGCCAAGTCAGAGCCAGCCTTAAGATTAGGCAAAGGCGGTGGCTGTCATACCTGCACAGATTGTATGCATCAGCTATTTGAGGACTCTGGAAGGTAAACAGCAGCAGAAGCACTGAAGATCAGGATTCAAAGTACTGCCGAAACAGCCTGACTTTGCCACTTTTCCCTCCAGTGTGCCCTGGCCTGAACTCAGGAAATCCTGAAGCCCGCGAAGTGGTCCTCAGGGCAGGACAAAGAGCGCTCCCAGTCAAGGAGGCAGTGGATGCTCACGGAGAGTGGCAGAAATTCCATCCCCTTTCTTTTTGCTCTGTTTTTCCGTGCCTGCCTCAAACCCAAGCAATCCTGTGGCAAGAGTAGCAGCAGCAGACACAGGAAACAACAGGTGCCTAGGTTCTCTAGGAAGGAAGCTGCCCGCCTGTATTAGAGGAGCTGCTGTCCCAAGAGGGTGGGAAACCCTTTGTGCTTTTTATCCCAGTCTGTCCTCCCACTGCTTTGTCCTGGAGGTGAGCAGTTCCAGGAAGTAAACTGCAGAGCAACAGCTTTCCGGCCAAAGGACCAAAAGCAAAGCTGGAAAGTTCCAGGGAGATGGTGGAGAGGGAGGCCCTAGGGAAAGTAACCCCTTAAAATGAATTCCTGGGCTCACCCCAAGATGCAATGCAAAGATCTGACCATGGCATGGACTGGCTACCAGATGGTGCTCACGTGGGACGGATCCCAGAAGTGCTTCAAGGGTTTTCAAAACTGAAGCGACACCGGAATTAAGACCCACAGAAGGCTGGTTGGAATTTGCAACCTAAACTCACTTAGACTGAATTGCTAAAATCATGCTGACATTCTCCATAGGATTTAAACAAAACCCAGAATCTAATAATATGTGTGGTAGGCAGACTTCTTGCTTTTAGTTTTTCAACTAGGGTAAAATATACACAATGAAAATGTATCATTAACCATTTTAAAGTGTACAGTTCAGTGGCATTAAGTACATTCACATCACTGTGCAACCATCACCACCCTCTGTCCTCCAGAATTTTCATCATCCTCAGCTGAAACTCTGCACCCACTGAACACTGACTCTCCATCACTTCTACCCTCACTGTTCTACTTTCTGTTTCTGTGAACCTGGGCTGAGTTCTCTAGGTACTGCATCTATGTGAAACTGTATAGTATTTGTCCTCTTGTGACTGGCTTATTTCA